CTGGGGTTTGGGGATGCCACAGGCACAAAAAGCCACAAAGCATGGGACACTTGGTAAGGAGAGAGAGAACTGCTGAAATCTCCCCTGCTGTCTTCCTTCTGCTGGCAGAGACAATGTGACAGATAAAACTTCTTACTGGTAAGGTGGAATAGTGGTGATTCACCTGATTTCTCCCTCCTCGCTGCAGCCCTACTGCACTTCATTGCATTGTGTCCGTGAAGTTCCCCTGATCCCCCAACATTGCCTTCTCTGGATTCTTGGGACAATGTTGATGAGGGATGCAGGGAAATATCCAGATCCGCTGCCATGATCATGTTTTGGTCATGGTGCACAATATGCATCCCACTCAAGATTTAGCTGGTTACCTTGAACTGGTGTGTGAGATTCAGCATTCTTCAATACTGTGCACACAATAGCACATAGCATCTCCTCTCCTTGGATTGATTCCCCTGCCTCTCTGACATTCTGCAACTCTCATAGTTAGAGCTTTATTAGGTCTTCCTCAGCTGCCCTCTCTACCTCAACTGCCGTAGTGCACCCTTTCCCCATCCTCCTATCACTAGTTGCACAGGTTAACTGCTGACTGCTCATCATCAGTTAGAATTTCCATAAAAGGCCCATGACAGCACAGCAGCAGCCTGTGGCTGGTGGAAATAGCACAATTTTTAGCTTACCGTACATATGTATTTCAGCATTACCAAATACTGGTTGAGACAGTTGAACAAAACAAAGACTGAGGAATAGAGATGGAAAGTAGAAGAAGAGATTGGTTTTATACCCCACCCTTCACTACCCAAAGAAGTCTCAGAGCGGTTTACAATCCCTTTCCCTTCCCCTCCCCACAATAGACACCCTGTGAGGTAGGTGGAGCTGAGAGAGCTCTCTCAAGAACTGCCCTTGTGAGAATAGCTCTGAAAGAACTTATGACTGACCCAAGGTTACACCAGCAGCTGCATGTGAGGGAGTGGAGACTCAAACCCAGTTCTCCCAGATTAGAGTCCGCGCTCCTAACCCCTACACCATACTAGCTAGTGATACTACTAGCAAAAACAATATTTAAAAAACAAAACAAAAATGGCAGTTGTATATACTTGCCCACTAATCTCAATTTTGTGTCCAGACTGGAGAAAACAAATGTCTTCAAATAAGAAATGTAATGGGGACATCTAGGATCTCAGTGCTTCAGGACAATGTAACAAAAAGAAAAAAACCCCAGCAATTTTATTTCAAATAGTATGAGCATAGAACACAAGCACTCACTACATACTATGTATTTGCTGCCTATAGATAGTTATTTGCATGTAAAGTGCCAGACCTCACTAGAAGCTTTCCCTCAAAACTTGTTGGTTTTAAATTCTCTCAAGTTGCATGTACTGTTTTAGCCTAGCTGGATTCAGTGACTAGACCCAATTTCTATAGTACATCAGTGCATGAATATTAACAAGAAACCTGTTAAAAGGGTGCCTTTAATCACTTGCAATTTGAATTTCAGATTAGCTTCTTGGCAGGACAAAATGCAAAATTGGCCCTCTTACTTAAAAGAGTTTGTGGTTTTGTTGAGTTTTATATGGAGCAGGCTCTGCATTTATTATCCTCATTCATTACTTAAATGTAATCATTCCTTCATCATAAGCCAAAAATCAGGTCATTCAATTCTTGTTCTACGTTTTTATAAGAGTTACTTGCATCCCTGACCACATCTATCCAATACTATCTTCTTATCAATTCAGAATGATTGCTTCTTTTACAGGGAAATTGTCTTTACTAGGCAACTTCATGAAAAAGCTTCTGACCTAAGCTATTACTACATGGGATTTTATATTCATTCTTGCCCAAAAATGAGATATAAGGTAAGTATTAAGTTCCTTTATTAGAAAGTCTGATTTCAATCTGTCTTGAGTGTTTTATGTGGTTATGATAGACCTATATATTCCAGTTGATTTCCTCTCTACTTTTACATGGCCAAAATGGTACTGGATGCTGTTCAGTTTGGTTCCAAGAGTTGAAGCATTTTACAGCTCTATCTACTTAAGTCTTCATGGCCAAGATCCAAAGATCTGTAAGTTGTGCATGCCCAAAGGGATGCTTTATTCTTGGCTTCATTTTCTTCGACAGCTACTTCCCATGTGATACAGCAAAACTTTTTTGGGAGGCGTTTTTAAGAGGTAGCTTGTGATATTGTGTAAGGATCTCCTGCTCAAAGAAAGAAAAGAAAAAAACTTCCTTGGGCATGCCCAAGCTTTTGGATCTGCCTAAAATAACTCCTTGGATCCTGGCCATTTTTATTGAGGATTGGTAAATTTGCCCTATTTTTAATTGTGATAAACTGTGTAATTACAGTGAATGGTGAGGGGAATCCTGAGGCAGGAAAATGAGATGGGGTGCAAAAACGAAAGCAGGAAAGAAAAACTACAGTTTTTAAGTGAAGGATGTGCAGCAATATTTCCTGTTGAAGACTGTTCTTGCAGATATTCCAAATGCCGCTTTAAAATGAACAGTAGAAATAGACTTCATTTTTTTCTGTATATGGAAGAGACTCAAACTCTAGTACATTGGCTGATGACTGTAACACCCATGCCTTTAATTTAGAATCCGTCACCTTACCTCAGTTCCTAATTTCACATCCTCTGATCCTGCCTTAAATTAATGTTTCCTAACCCTTTTGTAAAGATTTCTCTTCTTGGCGAAGAACTCTTCTGTCCAATTTAGTCACTGGTGAGAAGTTTAATTTAAAGTGCAGTAGTGGTTCAGAATGTGCCATGAGTTGCTGACAAAATGGGTTTTTAGTGGTAATCTGGCTTTTCCATCCAAAAAGCAATACTCTTCCCACAGACGTTTTGGCATATATTGTTAGTGTTAAATGCAGTTTCCTATATTTGAATTCCTCGGAACTACAAAAGCATTCAAGGTACTAAAAGCTTGGTAAGGAACTGAAAAAACGAAAAAATACTTCAACCTTAGCAGTTACTTTTAACTCAGTAGCTAATTCCAAGGGACATGAACTCATACTCATTCCTTTTTTTGCAACAATAGATATATTACTAATTAAAGCTGTGACACCCTGAGTCAGTGGGTAAGTTATGTATTTACAAAGATATATAACAAGTAGTTGGCAAACTAAGAATAAGGTTGAATCCCAGAAAGGTATGGACATCAGGGTTCCCAGGTAAGGGGATCGAAGCTACTGAGTTAAAAGTACTTGGTCCACTGCTTTTAACTTGTTCATTAATGATTTGGAGTTGGGAGTAAGCAGTGAAGTGCCTAAATTTGCAGATGGTACGAAGTTGTTCAGGGTGGTGAAAACCAGTGAGGATTGTGAGGCACTCCAAAGGGATCTGTCAAGGATGGGCGAGTGGGCGTCAACATGGCAAATGGGGTTCAATGTGGCCAAGTGCAAGGTGATGCACATTGGAGCCAAAAATCCTAAATATAAATACACATTGATGGGGTCTGAACTGGCGCAGACTGATCAAGAGAGGGATCTTGGAGTTGTAGTAGATAACTCACTGAAAATGTCAAGACAGTGTGTGACTGCAATAAAAAAGGCCAATGCTATGCTGAGGATTATTAGGAAGGGTATTGAAAACAGATCAGCCAATATCATATTGCCCCTGTATAAATCAATGGTGCGACCTCATTTGGAATACTGTGTGCAGTTCTGGTCACCACACCTCAAAAAGGATATTATAGCTTTGGAAAAAGTGCAGAAAAGGGCAACTCGAATGATAAAAGGGTTGGAACACTTTCCCTATGAAGAAAGGTTAAAGCGCTTAGGGCTCTTTAGCTTGGAGAAACAACGACTGAGGGGAGACATGATTGAGGTTTATAAGATTATGCATGGGATAGAGCAGGTAGAGATAGAGGTACTTTTCTCCCTTTCTCACAATACAAGAACTCGTGGGCACTCAATGAAATTGCTGAGCAGTCGGGTTAGAGTGATCAACACATGGAATTCACTGCCACAGGAGGTGGTGGCGGCTACAAGCATGGACAGCTTCAAAGGGGAATTAGATAAGCAGAGGTCCATCAGTGGCTATTAGCCACAAGGTATAGATAGGGGCTCTGGAGCAAGCGATGCTCTGTCTTCTTGGTGCTTGGGGGGGTCAACAGTGGGAGGGCTTCTAATGTCCTGGCCCCACTGGTGGACCTCCTGATGGCACTGGTATTTCTGGCCACTGTGTGACACAGAGTGTTAGGCTGGATGGGCCTTTGGTCTGATCCAACATTGGCGTCTCTTATGTTCTTATGTTCTTAATTAAGTTTTTTACTATGTACAGACTGCCAGCAGCATTGCTTTATAGATGGGGCCAACCTAGTGGGTAGCATTGTGGGATAGCTACCAAACAGCCTGTGAGGTTCTACCTGTGTGACCACAGTGCTCCCTCTGGTGTCGACAGTGGAGGGATCAGACCTCTCTAGACGTTCTGCACCCCAGTCTGTCCTTTGGCATGCACACCCTCTGTTCTTCTCCTGTCCTCTGCCAGAGAGTCAGAGGGCAGATAGTAGAGGATGCTCTGTGTCAAGTGTTTTGTGTGACCAGTGAAAGGTGCTGGGAGTACCAGCCATCCACTGCGGGGAAAGACAAGTGACTGATGAGCAGCAGTTGCTGGTCCTAGTAGCAGTTGTGCAAGAACCAATGACAGCCAGGACCAACAGCTGCCGTTTGTTTCCTGTTCTCTCTGTTGGTGACACAACTGTGCTTGGAAGGAGGCCCCACTGGACAGCATCGTACTGAGGGCCCCAAAAATCAGAACTGGCCCTGCTTAGAGATGCCAATGTGATCTCTGAGATGGTACTGGGACTCCTATACTTGATTTGGTAATCTGAGTTGGGAGTGTAAGTTGAATCTCCTCATGGGGTAGTGGTCAGGTACTGATCATTCCACCCATATGGCTGTGAGATTCACATACAGGCAGTAATCACAAGGAGGAGTAACTTGCATGTGGCTGTAGATGTGTGTCAGATGTCAGCACAGTTAAAAATTCATCTCTGTGCTTGGGGCTTAAATGAGCTCTTTCTCAAAACAACTGTTCAGTGTGCTAAACCCCACACTATGTTCCTGTACCTTCCTCTCCAGTACTGTTGTCTTTTTATCCTATAATGTATTATCAGATAGTCCCTACTATATACTCCTTTGCTGGAATGCTGTTGTATGTGAACTGTTCTGGCCACCTTTTTGTTTGTCCTTCATTAACCTTGATCTTTATATAAGTTGTCAAAAGATACTCATTTTGTTTTTAAGTTGAGCTTCCTCGCCCTGCGGCATTTCCCAGGCTCTCTTTGCATGCACATTTTCATGCAAATTAGTTTCAATTTAAGCCCACAATGTCGCTTACTTTGGCCGGCTGTCTCCCTTCTCAAAAACTTTTCCACTGAGATTGCAATTTTAAAAAGGTATTCTTGGAAGCTTACAGTGAACTAATTGTGAGAAACGGTTACGTGTCTGTATGTTGGTTTAGTAACCGTTCTGTGACTTGAACAGGGTGTCTTGATTAAAAAAACTTCATCCAGATTTGCATAAGGGCCACAGGAAATGCATTTATTTCAGTCAGTCCATTTCATTCTCATAACAGTGGCTAGAATAGTAGAAAAGTTTCTGAAGTACCAGCCAAGAAACAAAAGGCCAATTCATCTGTGATTAATCATTACACTAAATACCTTTGATGGGCTGTGGTCATAAGCAAAGTTTTTCGGAATTGTGCAGTGCTTGAGAACCAGGTTCTGTGGTTAGGTTTTAGGGCAGTCAGCATCTTTTCTGCTGTATTGAAAGCTCATACAGTAGTAGCTCGCAATTCCACATCCGCATAGTCAAGCGTTGGCAGCCGAAATCCCCTGAGCTCTGGTTTTTTCACAGTTCCCTGACTCTGGAATTTAGTTAACCTCCCCCCACTTTTTTTAAAGCAAACTTGGCTTTGCTGCCTTAGCAAAAATGGAAAACCACGGTAGAGCAAATGCCCAACAGGATGTTGTTTAGCCACATACTCTTGTGAGTCTGCCACTAAAAATTGGAAAGGACTGCAGTATCTTTCCAGTCCTATACACCATGCAGCTACTGCTTTGTTCCTTGGTGGATTCTTTAGTCCACATCAACTTATTTTTTGGGCTTCATATGTCAAGGAGGACAATTGCCCTGACATGGATAGTCCAGGCTAGCCCAATCTCATCATATCCTGGAAGCTATGCAGGTCTGGCACTGGTAAGTATTTAGATGGAAAACCACCTCGGAATACCAGGGTTGCTATGTAGAAGCAGGCAGTGGGAAACCACCTCTGAGTATCTCTTGCTTTGCAAACCCTACGCGGTCACCATAAGGTGGCTGCAGCTTGATGGCAAAAGAAAGTAAAATGAAAATAAGTTGTTCTCTGGTGATCCTTGGATTGGGGCAGTCCTCATGTTTGGGAAAGGATCCTCCTGTCCGGAAGCAGGATCAATCAGCTGAATTTGATCCTGGAGGGGAGGGACTTGCCCAGGGATCGCCAGTCTTATCGGAAGATGACGGCAGTGCTCCTCTTGAGCGCAGCATTCCAGTCTTATCTGCCCTGCTCCAGGAGCAGGAAGTTGACGGCAGTGCTCCTCTTGAGCGCAGCATTCCGGAGAAGAAAAAGAGAACTGAGCCTTCAGTCGGAAGCCAGAAGGGACCTCAGAGGGGGAGGAAAGGGCCCATATCCCCCTCTTCTCCAGCTGTGCTGCAGAAGAGCAATGCGAGCAAGGGAAAGCCAATGGCCCTTGGGTCTCCAACAGGCCCACGCACAGCCACAGACTCACACAAAGATCCCCAATCTTTGGGTTGGGGGGATCCCCCTCTGTTTTTTTCTGAGGGCATGGTTGAGTCAACAGCAGCCTGTTGGTC